TCTGGTTACACCGTCACATCTGGGAAGTTGCGGATGTTAAATTTCCATTCTGAAAATGGAGCCGAGCTACAAGGATCTTTTTTTAGCTGCCAACATGAAAAATAAATGTAATCCCAGCTGGTGGGATTACTTGATTGGGATCCCCGCCCAAATTCATGGAAAAGTGCAATGAATAATGAATCAAATAGATTAATGACTAATTTATACATTATGTAGTTACTTAAAGAACCAAGAGGCGAAATTTTGTTTTGAAACCTGCATGGAAAAATTAATTTATCCCAGGAAGGGAATTCTGATAAATTGAATTTTTTTTTTTTTTTGGACTGCTCATGCTGGTTGAAAGAGAATACAGGTAGTCCTCGATTTACGACCACAATTGAGCCCCAAATCTATGTTGCTAAGTGAAACAATTGTCAAGGAAAGCTTTGCTCCATTTTACGACCTTTCTTGCCACCATTGTTAAGCAAATCACAACAGTCGTTAAGCGAGTAACACGGTCGTTAAATGAATCCGGATTCCCCCGTTGACGTTGCTCGTCCAAAGGTCGCAAAAGGGGGAATCACGTAACCCGAGGACACTGCCACCGTCATAAATACGAACCAGTTGCCAAGCATCTGAATTTGTAACGGTTGTAAGTGCGAAAAAATGGTCACCAGTCCGCCGTTCCAGCATCGTCGTAACTTTGAACAGTCATTAAATGAACTGTTGAAAGTTGAGGACTACCTGGAGTTGCCTCTTGGTGAGATGGGCAGTATATACATTTAATAAATGAACGGAAAAAATAATAATACATTTTACTGCGCTTGAAAAAAATTTTTCGAAAGCCATCCCTATTTTTTTTTTTTTGGGGGGCTTTTCCCTTCCCTCCCTTTTCTTTCTGACTTTTCTAGCGTCCCTCTATTTTTACGTTGCAAAGAAAGATAATCAAAGAAAGATAATTTTAATTAAAGAAAGAAAGAGAAGGAGTTACAAACCAGAGAATAGAAATGAAACCAGAAACCTATTTACTAGGAATATTCACAGCACACTATGAGAAAGAAATAAAATATTTAATCACTCATATCTTAACGGCAGCTCGAATACTATTCGCTCAGAGTTGGAAACATGGAGATACACCATCAGAAGAGAAAATAATCCTTAAATTTATGGAATGTGCAGAAATGGACAAACTCACTAAAGAAATACAAGAAAAAGAAGAAACAGATTATTACTTAATATGGCAAAAATGGTACGATTGGCTGAAGAAAACAAATAAAAATAAGGACACACAAAAAAAAGGAAATGGAACATTTAGACAAAAATTGAGTACCAATTAAGGAAAAGAGTAAATTAAAGAGGGCATTTAAGATATTAGTATACAAGTCAATGTGTAGAAATATACACAGAAGTATATAATTTACCGATGCGATTATTTAAAATACAAGTTGTAAGACTTGACGTATGTTTATCAGTTGTGTGTATTGTACTGTCGTATTTGTGTGTGTTTGTTTTTCTTTTTTAATTAAAATAAAATGAACATTTAAATAAATAAATAAAATAAATAAATTAATTAAATTAAAAAAGAAAAAAGAAAGAAAGAAAGGAAGGAAGAAAGGAAAGGAAGGAAGGAAGAAAGAAAGAAAGAAAGAAAGAAAGCAGTTTAAAATCTCTTGCACCAAAATTGTGGGTGCGCATTTGACACACAATGTAGGGAGAAATTCCACCCCACCTGGAATGCTTTTGACGTGGCGTGCCATTGTCTCTGCCACGCTTTGGCACACGACAAGGGAGACGGGCAGTGGGGAGAGGTCAGGTGGCATCACGCACTGGACACACACACTGCCAGGGAGTGCAAATGTGCAAGAGGCCAGTGCCTGGGTGTGCAATTTATGGGGGCTGCCCCCCCACACCCCTTCTACGCAAAGACATGGATTATTGTCAAGCTGGCCGGCGCAGTTGCTATTTTAATCTCGTGTCCTTAAAGGAGCTTGTGATTTCATCCTTCCCTCCGCCTTCTCTGTGTTGTGTGTTTGTGGGTTTTTTGTGTATCCTGTAAAGCGAATCAGGCCAGGTCACTCTTGGTTAAGAGCGGGGGAAGGAGAGAGGTGGGGAAGGGGGAGGGAGGAGCCCGTTGGGATCTCGTGGTGGAGGAGAAGGGGGCCCATCGCTCGGAGCACCCTTCCGCAGCTCGGGGGTGGGAGTGGGGGAGTGGGGGGTGCAAAATCCCCCCCCTAAACCCTGGATTAGGATTCGCAGCCGACTCGCAAAGGGAGATTTTTGTCTTGAGTAAGATTCATGGATGACTCAGGGGCAAACTCCTGGGACTGCCGGTGCTGGGCTCCATCCGTCGCTGGAGGTTGGGAAGAAAAGATCGGATTATCATTCGTCCAGAAATGGTGCATATATATATATAGTCTCCTGCTTGAGCAGAGGGTTGAGCTAGATGACCCTCGGGGTCCTTTCTGGCCCTAGGATTCTATGATCACCAGATAATAATCTTGATCATTGATCTATCTATCTGCTTGGGTGGGGGGTTGGACTAGATGACCTAGAAGGTCCCTTCCAACTCTGTTCATCCATCCATCCATCGATCCCTCATTATCTTTCTTTCTATCTATCAATCTTTCTCTTTCTTTCTTTCTATCAATCTTTCTCTTTCTTTCTTTCTATGTATCTATCATCATGTTGGTCTGTCTATCCCTCCCTTCCTCCCTCATTATCTATCTATCTATCTATCTATCTATCTATCTATATCTATCTATCTATCTGTCTGTCTGTCTAACTATCTATCTATCCATCCATTCCTTATTATCTTTCTTTCTATCAAACTTTCTTTCTTTCTATCAAACAATCTTTCTTTCTTTCTATCTATCTATCTTTCTATATTTCTTCCTATGTATCTATCTTTCTTTCTACCAATCTATCTTTCTATCAATGTATCATCTTTCTTTCTATCAATCTATCTTTCTTTCTTTCTATCAATGTATCTATCATCGGGTCGGTCTGTCTATCCATCATCGCTCCCTCCCTCCCTCATTATCTATCTATCTATCTGTCTGTCTAACTATTTATCTATCCATTCATTCCTTATTATCTTTCTTTCTATCTATCAATCTATCTTTCTATCTATCAATCTATCTTTCTTTCTATGTATCTTTCTTTCTATCCGTTGTAACTTCAAATGGTCAGTAAGTGACTGGTCGTAAGTGGAGGAACCCCCATCGCAGTCTTCTCGCCGAAGGCTCGTTGGGGTTGTAACTTTCTGCCCTTTTAAAATAGGCAGCCATCGATTTTAGACTCTCCATTTTATTAAAATATTTACAAGTTGTGTTTTCTATCGGAACGATGTGCCTCATATCATTTTTTTTTCCTATTGGTTGCAACGAAGTCTGCAACTCTCTCGCTACTTACGACGAAGATGATTATTTCCCCCCCCCCCAGGAAGTGTGAACGCAGACGTCGCTATTACAGGTTACGAGGAGTCTACTAGCACTAGCTTCAAATCCGGACCAACCTGAACAGCGTTGGGTTTCACATTAGTAACATTATGTTACTACCGGTCAGAGGTGGGTTTCAGCAGGTTCTGAGCAATTCTGGAGAACCGGTAGCGGAAATTTTGAGTAGTTCGGAGAACCGGTAGTAAAAATTCTGACTGGCTCCGCCCCCATCTATTCTCTGCCTCATGAGTCCCAGCTGATAGGGAGGAAATGGGGATTTTGCAGTATCCTTCCCCTGAAGTGGGGAGGGCATGGAGATTTCCGCTACCGATTCGGGCGAACCGGTCCGAACCGGCTAAATACCAGCTCTGAACCTGAACCAATATTTCTCAACCGTGGGAATCTTAAGACAGCTGGACTTCAACTCCCAGCATTCCCCAGCCAAGCAAAGATTTCCCAGAATTCAGCATGGATAGGACAAGAATAAATGTGGCCATATATAGATATAGATATAGATATAGATATAGATATAGATAGATAGATATAGATATATAGATAGATATAGATAGATATAGATATAGATATATATTTTGATTGGGTAACTTTCTCCATAGATGGTGGGAATGCGGCAGATGTAATATATCTTGATTTCAGCCAAGTGGAGGGGGAAAAAAAACAATCCATTGCAAGCTAAAAGAGTAAAAGAGGTGGCTTAGAATGGCATGAGAATTAAATGGGAAACTGAAATGCTGCCTGGGGGATTCTGGGAGTTGAAGTCCACCCGTTTTCAAGCTGCCAGGGTTGAAAAACACAATCCCAAACCTAGATCTGACCTCACAGCAGCCCAACATACTAGATTTAAAATCTATCTATATATAAATGGCTTTGTGTATGTTCCAGCATAACTCTGGAATGCCTCGAGCAGTTTCAACCAAACTTGGTACACAGATGACTTACTCTCTGGAAAGAAATACTGTAGGGGTAAGACACCCCAACACCTCTCAGAGGGGTGTTCTGTTAAGATACAGCCTGTTGTGCCTTAAAATGGCTTCTACTGGACTGCCTTAAAATGGCTTCTACTGTGCAGCACAGCGGAGTTGCCATGGTAACGGCTTCACAGGACTCCACAAGGGGACTCCCTCTGGTAAAAGGGAAAATCCAACATTAGATCTGGACATTTTCAACAAGGCTTCGATTATTCTTGAGGACAAATGTATGGCCATGATCAATAAAACATTACTGCAACTCGGCCTGCCGGCACCACTACGAGACCGACACGACGTACTTCACGCAGATTACATGCGAGAAAAGAACTACTTAGTGCACATCTCGCGGACAAGAAGCCACTTCTAAATCAAGATCGGGAAAAAGCATCCCAAACGATCAGGGATCAGCTAGCAAAACAACAAGGCGGTATTATTTTACTTGATCGCTTCTTGGGGCACAGGGAAAACATTTTGAATTATTTTAATTCTCGCCGAAATCAGGGCTCAGGGTAAAGTTGCTCTTCCTGTCTAATACAGGATTGGGATAAATAAATACCCGGGTTAACGCCGGGTTATCAGCTAGTAGGACAATAAAATATATGTCTAGACTACCTTTATTGTTTTTTTTTTTTTAATTGGATAACTTTCTTAATAGACGGTGGGAATGCGGTTGACGTAATATACCTTGACTTCAGAAAAGTGAAAAAAATAACCCATGACAAGCTAAATTAATAAAATAATCTAGCTTAAGGTAAACTAGATGGCGTGACAATGAAATGGAAAACTGATATATTAGAATTAAATGGAAAAGTGATTAGCTGGCTGGGGAATTCTGGGAATTGAAGTCCGTCCATCTTAAAGTTCCCACGGTCGGCCAGCATTCGTGGATACAACAACGAGACACTAATTCTGCAGGGGCCGAGTAAACTTGGAGTCCGTAGGAGATTACCATCACTGCCAATTCCCACAATTGTCCGTCAACACAACCGCAATCTGGCTTGGCACCGAGCTGTTCGGCGGCCCCACGGTCAACAATCACACCGATGCCCAATGTTGCGGCTACGGGGAACTTAAGTCGCACACATTCACGGAAGGCAGAACGGAGGGAGGCGGAGACACACGGGCCCAGGTGTGGAAAAACCGTCCAGGTGTGCGCGTCGTGCAGTAGCACCGCCGATCCCTTTTTAATGCCCATCGTCCCCGTCGACTTTGCCTTCCACGCTCGCGGGGCAGCTGTGGGCCGAGATGGAGTTGCTCCGGTGCTGAGCTTCGTCGAAGTCCAATTCGTGGCCTTGAACCCGGATCGCGCTAAGGCAGCCCTGGAAGAAATGAGCCTCCTGAGATTTTTCCTCTCCTGAAATAAAGACGTTTTAAAAAAAAAAAAAAGGAGTCAGAAAGAATAGAAGCTCGCCAGAATATAAATCCGGCTGCATTTCAATGCATTGTTAGCCTGGGGAACTCCCTGCCACAAGATGGCTTCGTGCTTCTAGGAGCGATCACACACATTGCTCCTAGAAGCACGAAGCCGAGAACACCAGCCTGAAGATGACGAATGAGACTTCGTTGAAACATTGCCAAGAAACCTCCAATTTTACGCGGGAGAAAACCCGAATAACCAAAGACCCACATATATATATATATATATATATGCATATTCTTTCTAGCCAGGTTTTACCTATGTAAACTAAGTTGTTCTGCAGCCCAACTTAGTTTACGTAGGTAAAACCTGGCTAGAAAGAATATGCACATAAAAGCCTACGAAAAAGAAAAAGACACACACACACACACACACACACACACACACACACACACACACACACATATATATATGTTTTCTCAGGTTTTCGTGGGTGTTTGTAGGTCTCTGGTTATTCGGGTCTTCTCCCACGTAAAATTGGAAGTGTCTTGGCGACGTTTCGACGAAGTCTCATTCGTCATCTTCAGGCTGGTGTTCTCGGCTTCGTGCTTCCAGGAGCAATGTGTGTGATCGCTCCTAGAAGCACGAAGCCATCTTGTGGCAGGGAGTTCCCCAGGCTAACAATGGAAGCACGAAGCCGAGAACACCAGCCTGAAGATGACGAATGAGACTTCGTCGAAACGTCGCCAAGACACTTCCAATTTTACGTGTGAGAAGACCCGAATAACCAGAGACCTACATATATATATATATATATATATATATATATATATATATATATATATAATATTTATATATAATATATTTACATATATATGTGTGTGTGTGTGTGTGTGTGTGTGTGTGTGTGTGTGTGTGTGTAAAAATAGAAGCATACATACTGCGAATTCCGGAACTTAAGATTTTAAAATTTAAAAATTTAAAATCTTAAGTTCCGGAGTTCGCAGTATGTCTGCTTCTTTTTTTACTAATATACCTGGAACTCATAGCGTCCCAGGGGAGGGGAGGTCACGTGACTACCAGAGTGTAAATGCCAATGCATTGTTAGCAGGGGTGAAACCCAAAATTTTCCCCCTACCGGTTCTGTGGGCGTGGCTCGGTGAGCGTGGCAGAGGAAGGATACTGCAAAATCTCCATTCCCACCCCCACTCTGGGGCCAGCCAGAGGTGGCATTTGCTGGTTCTCTGAACCACTCAAAATTTCCGCTGCCGGTTCTCCGGAACCTGTTAGAACCTGTTGGGTTTCACCCCTGATCGTTCGCCTGTGGAACTCCATGCCACAAGATTCAGCAGATGCATAGCCCTTTGCAAGGGTGAGACTATTTTTTACTGTGCATTTATTGATAGGCTGCCCATCTCAACTATTTAAGAAACTCGGGGTGCCCTACCCTGGCTAGCCTCCCACCCCCAACCTCCAGGCAGGACGTACCGGATTCGCCCCCAATGACCAGGCTGCCCCTGTTGCTCAGCCAAAGCTGTTGCAGGCTCTCGAAATCGGCCCTGGAGGTGGGCTTGGTGATCTCGGTGTCGCCCAGACGTAGCGTGAAGGAAGAGGGGGTGAGGCGGAGGAGGAGGGGGGCGTCCAGGCAGCCCCCTTCGGGGAGGGGGAGCTGGAGAACTGTCTGGTTACCCAACTCGGCTGTCAGATCCTGCAGGGATGAAAAGACCACAAACCGGGTTGGGGGGGGGTAGGGTTGGGTGCGCCTTCTATGGCTCCTCCCCCTCCCCACAGGGAAGGGGTCCTTGGCACTCACAAGCCCATGATGCCCTGCACTCAATGAGGACTGTCACCACTCTCCACTTTGGATCATTCATTCATTCATTCATTCATTCATCCATTTATCCTTCTATCCATCCATTCTTCCATTTATTCACCCAACCTTTCATTCATCTTTCCTTCCTTCCATCCATCCATTTCATCCGTCCATCGCTCCATCCATCTATCCTTCCTTCCCCTTCCATCCATCCATCCAACCGTTCATTCATCTTTCTTTCTTTCCTTCCTTTGTTCCATCCATTCATTTCATCCTTCCATCTATCCTTCCTTCCCCTCCCATCCATTCTTCCATTTATTCATCCAACTTTTCTCATTCATCTTTCCTCCCTTCCTTCCATCCATCCCACCCATCTTTCCTTCCTTCCTCCCTCCCTTCCTTTCATCCTTCCATCCCTCCATCCATCCCTCCATCCATTTATCCCTCCATCCATCCTTCTCCTTCCATCCATTCTTCCATTTATTCACCCAACCGTTCATTCGTCTTTTTCTTTCTTTCTTTCTTTCTTTCTTTCTTTCCTTCCTTCCTTCCTTTGTTCCATCCATTTCATCCTTCCATCCATCCATTTCATCCTTCCATCTATCCTTCCTTCCTTCCCCTCCCATCCATTCTTCCATTTATTCATCCAACTTTTCATCCATCTTTCCTTCCTTCCTTCCCTCCATCCCATCCATCTTTCCTTCCTTCCTCCCTCCCTTCCTTTCATCCTTCCATTCTTCCATCCATCCTTCCTTCCCCTTTCATCCATTTTTCCATTTATTCATCCAACCTTTCATTCATCTTTCCTCCCTTCCTTCCGTCCTTCCTTTCCTCCCTTCTTTTCCTCCTTCCATCCCACCATCAATCCCTCCATCCATTTATCCCTCCATCCATCCATCCTTTCCTTCCTTCCCTCCCTCCCTTACATCTTTCCTTCCATACCTCCATCCTTCTATCCCTCCATCCCTCCATCCTTCCTTCCTTCCCTTCATCCATTTTTCCATTTATTCATCCAACCTTTCATTCATCTTTCGTCCCTTCCTTCCGTCCTTCCTTTCCTCCCTCCTCCCTCCCTTTCTTTCCTCCCTTCTTTTCCTCCTTCCATCCCTCTGTCCATCCCTCCATCCATTTATCAATCCCTCCATCCATTTATCCATCCTTCCATCCATTTATCCATCCATCCATCTATCTTGCGGCTCCCATCTTGACTTTTCGGCCCCTCCTGGCAGACATTCCCAGTCCAACTCGTCTGGTGGGCACCCCAATGGCCATCTAGCCCTCCCCTCCCCTCCCCCCCACCCCCGCTCTCAGCCCTCTCAGATGGGGCCGCTTGGACGCCTCTGTCCGTCCGTTCTCACCTTGTGCTGGAGGGCCAGGCGCAGGACCGGCAGCTGCTTCAACCCCGAAACGGCGAGCAGGGTGCTGAGCTGGGGGGCGGCCCCGATCCGCAGTTGCACGGAGAGCTGCCAGCTGCCGTCGGTGGGGCTGAGCCCGCTGGGGAGGCCTGCAAGAGAGGAGGTCGTGGCTGGCACCGTTTGGCGGCTGCAACGACCGAGGCCGACCCATCGGTGAGATGCCGGCATCGCCCTGCCGGGAGTCGAGGGACGCTGTCCTCCCAATCTAGGGACTCCGCAGCCTGCGGTGTCCGGCCGTACCTGACAGGGCAAAGACGGCCTGCCCGTCGCCGCGGAAGAAGCTGCCACGTTGGACGGTCGCGAAACAGACCTTGGCGTCGCGGTGGTGCAAGGATGCCCCCTCGTGCCACTCTTGGCTCGTGTTCAGCCAGTCCCAGCGCCTGATGCAGCCATCCAGGGCTGGGTTCAGCTGCAGCGCCCGTCAGTCGCGGGGTGGTGGACCGGAGGGGCGGCCAAGGGTGGACAGCCAGCGGAACGACAAAAAGACCTTTTTTGAAATTGGGGGGTTGGGGTGGTATTTTGGGGAGGGTGGGGGTGGCAGGGAGTTCCTGGCGTTGAGGGACGTTGGTGATTCATTGTGGTTCTAAAGGGAGTCCTTGGTTTATGACCGTAAGGGAGCCTGCCCGTCGTGATCGCGAGTCGCAACTGTCATAAAACGGATTGATCGTGGGACTGAGCCCATTTTACAAGCATGATTTTTGTGGCTGTTGTCACTTTGAACGGTCGTAAGTCAAGGCCAGTTACAAGATGAGGATATGTTCTGTTCGGTTGCACTCTATTCCTATTCAGTATTTTATTATTCTGTTCTGTTCTGTTCTGGATTTTATTGTTCTGTTCTGCTGTATTCTATTCCTATTTGGTATTTTATTATTCTGTTCTGTTCTGTATTTTATTATTCTGTTCTGTTCTGTTGCATTCTATTCCTTTTTGGTATTTTATTATTCTGTTCTATTCTGTTCTGTTCTGTATTTTATTATTCTGTTCTGTTCTGTTGCATTCTATTCCTATTCGGTATTTTAATATTCTTTTCTGTTCTGTTCTGTTGTGTTCTGTATTTACATTATTCTGTTCTGTTCTGTTGCATTCTATTCCTATTCCGTATTTTATTATCTGTTCTGTTCTGTATTTTATTATTCTGTTCTGTTCTGTTGCATTCTATCCCTATTCCGTATTTTATTATCTGTTCTGTTCTGTATTTTATTATTCTGTTCTGTTCTGCTGCATTCTATTCCTTTTCGGTATTTTATTATTCTGTTCTATTCTGTTCTGTATTTTATTATTCTGTTCTATTCTGTTCTGTATTTTATTATTCTGTTCTGTTCTGTTGCATTCTATTCCTATTCGGTATTTTATTATTCTGTTCTGTTCTGTATTTTATTATTCTGTTCTGTTCTGCTGCATTCTATTCCTTTTCGGTATTTTATTATTCTGTTCTATTCTGTTCTGTATTTTATTATTCTGTTCTATTCTGTTCTGTATTTTATTATTCTGTTCTGTTCTGCTGCATTCTATTCCTATTCAGTATTTTATTATTCGATTCCATTCTGTTCTTTTTGTATTTTATTATTCTCCTCTCCTCTCCTCTCCTCTGCTCCCCTCCCCTCCCATTCTATTTGTTGCAATAAACTCTAGTATAGCACAATGGGACAAATCCAGACACCATGGCTCACAAGTGACACTTGATGGCTAGTAACCAGGTTGAATGGCTCAAACCCTGGCTCAAAGAAACCATGATTCAAATACCCCTGCCCAAAAGCTTTAGACGGGCCTATTTCTCAAGCTAAAGATTGGCTACGTCTTTTGAGCCGGGCCCAAATTCAAATCCTCGTTTTTCTCCCATGCTGATTATGGATCCGTTCTCCTCATTCCCCCTGTCCTACCTTGCAGGGCTGTTGTGAGAATAGCAAGAGAGAGAGGATGAAAATTATGCGTTTTGGATTACTTTAGAGCAGTGTTTCTCGAGTTTGGGAGCTTTAAGAAGTGTGGATTTGAACTCTCAGAGTTCCCTTCCCTTTTGAGGTGTATACCCATTGCGGCCTGCTTACTCTCTTATAATCCTTTCCTCTGCAATCTCTCCGCTTTAAAAAGTAGGAAGAAAAAAAAAAAAACAGGCAAAGCTGGTTGGCTGGCTGGGGAATTCTGGGAGTTGAAATCCACACTTCTTAAAGTTCCCACGCTCGAGACACACTGGTTTCGAGAAAAGGAGGGTTGATGAAACCATGGGGAAAAGAATCCACCGGGGACTTTTTGATCTCGGAGCAGTCACCAGAGGACAGAGATCGGTCTTACCGGGACGAGCAATTCGTTCGGCAAAATGAACATGCCTCCTACTCCGATACGCATCTCAGGGGTGGGCCGGTTCACGATCGGGTGGGAGACGTGGCTGAGGGTGAGTTGATCATCTCCGTCGACCAACAACATCACGAAGTGTCCTTCGTTCTTCACCGTGATCTGACCGGAAGGCACAGGATAAGTCTCGTACGGAGATAGATGAATAGGAGGGTCAGAAAGGATCGGAATCCGACCCCCACAGGAGGATGTGGCCAACAAGAGAGGGGACAAGGGGTCTCCTTTATCTGAAAGGTAGTCCTCGACTTACAACCAGCTCCATTTCAATGCCTCGTTGGCCTGTGGAACTCCCTGACACAAGGTGCAGCAAATATATAAGGATAGTTTTTTGACTTACAACCGATTGTTTTAGTGACCGTTCAAAGCTACAACGGCGCTGAAAAAAATGACTCTTGACCGTGTTTCACACTTATGACCTCACTTATCCCTGTGGTCACATGAGCGAAATTCAGACACTTGACAACTGATTCACATTTATGACGGTCGCAGTGTCCCGAGGTCACGCGATCCCCTTGTGCGACCGTCTGACAAGCAAAGTCAAATGGGGGAAGTCGGATTCGCTTAACGGCCGCCTGATTCACTTAACGACTGCGGTGATTCGTTCAACAAAGGTGGCAAAAAAGGTCATAAAATGAGGCGCCACTCGCTTAACGACGCTTAGCAACGGAAATTCTGGTCTCGATTGTGGTTGTAAGTTGGGGATTGCCTGTCGTCCCCCCCCTCCCCCCCATCTTACCCGATGCCACTGGCCGTCGTCGAGACGCCGCCCCCCGGAGACGGTGATGTTGGTGAGGGTGTTGTGGATTTGCACGATCGGTTTCCCCCGACGCAACGCGAGGACGAACCAGTCGACGGTGGGGCTGGTGTCCCCGTAGAAGATCACCCCTTCCGAGTCAAAGGTCCGGAAGTCGAAGGAGGAAACCGCACTGGGTGGGGAGGAACAGGGACGGTCTCAAGGGGGGGGGAACCAGTGGGGTGGTCTTGCTGCAGACCCCCCTGGATGGGGAAGACACGGCACAGCCGGAGTGGGCAAGGGTGGTCGCCATCCATGACTTCTCTTCCACACCTCCCTCTTTCTCTCTCTCTCTCTCTCTCTCTCTTTTTCTGTCTTTTTCTCTTTCTCTCCCTTTCTCTTTTCTCTCTTTCTTTTTCTCTTTCTCTCTATCATTCTTTTTTCACTTTTTCTTTCTCTCTCTCTCTCTCTTTTTTTCTTATCTCTCTTTTTCTTCCTTTCTCTCTCTCTCTCGTCTTTCAGTCTTTCTCTCCCTGTCTTTTCTCTATCTTTTTCTCTTTCTCTCTATCATTCTTTTTCACTTTTTCTCTCTCTTTCTTTTTTCTGTCTCTTTTTTTCTCTGTCTCTCTTTCTCTTTTCTCTCTCTCTTTCTCATCTTTCTGTCTTTCTCTCCCTTTCTCTTTTCTCTATCTTTTTCTCTTTCTCCCTATCATTCTTTTTCACTTTTTCTCTCTCCCTTTCTCTCTTTTTTCTGTTTCTCTTTTTCTCTGTCTCTGTCTCTTTCTCTTTTCTCTCTCTCTCTCTCGTCTGTCTTTCTCTCCCTTTCTCTTTTCTCTATCTTTTTCTCTTTCTCTCTATCATTCTTTTTCACTTTTTCTCTCTCCCTTTCTCTCTTTTTTCTGTCTCTCTTTTTCTCCCTTTCTCTTTCTCTCTCTCCCTCGTCTTTCTGTCTTTCTCTCCCTTTGTCTTTTCTCTTTCTTTTTCTCTTTCTCTCTATCATTCTTTTTCACTTTTTCTCTCTCCCTTTCTCTCTTTTTTCTGTCTCTCTTTTTCTCCCTTTCTCTTTCTCTCTCTCCCTCGTCTTTCTGTCTTTCTCTCCCTTTGTCTTTTCTCTTTCTTTTTCTCTTTCTCTCTATCATTCTTTTTCACTTTTTCTCTCTCCCTTTCTCTCTTTTTTCTGTCTCTTTTTCTCTTTTTCTCTCTCTCTCTTCTATCTCTATCTTTTTCTCCCTTTCTCTTTCTTT